TTGCTTGATTTTATTGAAAATAGTTTGTTTTCTATAACAAAGTAACTTTAGATGAATAAGGACATTATGCTTAATTTTCCATTTATTTTTCACGCTAGAAAATCCAAAATGTCATCATACGGATGTAGATAAGTTTAATATTAAATATTGTGAAGTAAAAAAATTCAGGTAGTTTTGTTGTTTCAATAATATACTTTAAAGATTAACCCACGGTTACGCGCGGAGTGTTACTCTCGCAAATTTAAGCGAGCGGGAAACTATAGCACCTCTGTTTCAAAATTTAATTTTTCAAAACTCATAGGTTTTTTAGCGATTTTTTCATTTTGGATGCTTGTGGGCATGTGTTTTTGATATATTAGTGAAGAAAACTACTTTAAATATATCGCTTTTATTTATTCGTAACGAAAAACAGAAAATCTCATGTTTTTAGAAATTTTTCAAAAACAATTGTCAACTTCAAAAGTGTATTTTACAAACTGTAAACAAGTCTGATGCTATCTAAGCTGTCAATCGTTTTCCTGTTTGTGTTTTTTAACTGTCACAACAATTAAATTCTTTGTACCAAACCCCGGGCCAAAAATATCTCAGTATTTCCAAAAATACACCATCTAAAATCATACAGCAAGTAGAAGTAAAAATGGATATTATTGGCAGATAACATCGATAATAAACTTCCTTTACACTGTAATTGGTTAATTTATATGTCTGTTATTAGATCCACCTACAAAAACAATTGCTGGAAATATTCCCGCGAATTGCCACGTCCCCGAAAGCTACCACATCGAAGTATGTAAACAATCGCTATAAAATCGCATGTTTTAATCTTTTTTCCACTTCTAATTTGCTAATGATAAGTCGCTTGACAGTATTTAGAAGAATAAACATGTTTTCGACACCATTTAGCAATAAATATCGCCAAAAAACACCGCCTTTCAAACTTTCAATGCTAAGTCTATGGGAAACTTTTTTGCCGTTTATTGGCTTTAAAAATCCTGTTTTTACGCCTTTTATGCTCTAATTGGTTACTTCTATCATCATTGACTAGATATCAACCAATAAGCGTTATCTCGAAACTGTAAGTCAGATCGGCTCACCTCGGTTAGTTGCCCCACTGATTTCCATTGTGGCTCTATGTAAAAATTTTTTTTCGTGCAATTTTGAAATTTTTTCGGTGCGATCTTCACACCATCGAAGAAAGGTACTGAGGGCATCATTTTTCAGCACTGAAAACATTAAAAATACACGCGTTTTACACGGCGGGGGTGCTATATCACCCCGGGAGATAATAAAAATCTATTAGTTCTTTCTTTTTAATAAATACCGTCAAACGTCGGTTTTCGGACAGCTCACTTTTTGTATAAATGTGTTCTCGGAGAAGAATTACACCTCACGATTGCTTCAGGTTGCCGAACAAACTTCCCGGCAAGAGTCTGCCACATATTAGAGAGAAACCGATAAGCAACTCCCTATACTTCCTTTGCCTTTCTATACTCTGTACATTCCTTCTATTAAAGAAAGTGGCGCATTGCATCATTAGACGTCACGACGCGAATCATCGATGATGTTGCTTTAAACTGCAACGTCATTAGATTAAATTAGATTTCAATGTGCGTGCAGGGAAGATACTAATTCTGTTTTTGGTACGCAAACCAATTGAATTTAAGTCAAATTTATTAATAAAAACCGCGTTAATTCACATTCACATAATAATTGGTATCCGAGAATTTGTGCAAATGGTGATTAAGTCAAATTAAATAACAGTAATTTATTATTAAATATAATTTTTTATTATTTTTCATTAGTATACAATTGACGTTTGGCATTATCTTTAAAGGCAAGACTTTTAAAGAATATGTTTCAGAAAAGTAGCGAGTGTAGCTAAAATGTAAATAAAAACTATGTTTTGGGTGGCCAAAAACGTGTTGATTTATTTTGTATTGTTTCTTAAGAGAAAATTTCTTTCGGTTGTAGAACAATTTTTAGGAACTGAATTGTTTGAAAACCGAAGTTTGACTGTGTATTGTTTACGAAAGCGATGATATCAAAATGCATAATTTGAAAACTATTATTCAATGATAACTTTCCTGAAATACAGGTAACCCCCGTATAACACGGTAGTTACGTTCCAGAAAATTGCCGTGTTATGCGAATCCGTGTTATACGAAACAAAGAACTAATACGAAAAGGAGGGTTAGGTTCCAAAAATTAAAAAACATGCTAGTATATTTTCATAATTAAGATAAATATCTTCATTAAAATTTTTTTGAGTGATACATATTAATATAAATTAAACAATATTTTCTTCGTCATCATTAAAAACACTATTAATTAACCGAGAGCGTTTTCTTTTTGGCAAGTTATCCTTATCCTCTGAGCATTTTTCTGCATTATCTTCAGATCCATGCTTTACCTTTTGCAAAATGTATGTAATTTTAGATTGCTTGCTTCTAGTTAAAAGGTTTTTATAAATTTCCTAATATGGTGCTAAGCACTTATGAAGAATAATGCAAGTATGGAATAAGGGGGTTTTCCCCTTATTTCCCTTATTCCAAACGTTCGGCAACATCAGAAGCAGAAGCAGAAGCGTCGCGATCTGGCAACATTAAAACAAGTTTCGAGATGGACCACGTGTATCGATAGAAGGCGAGAAAAAAAAATTTACATACTTAAGTATTAATAGTTCACGAAAATAATAATTTTCGTGAACTATTATTACTTAAGTATGTAAAAATTTATTACATTTCCTGTTGTACGAAGGTTTTACCCAATTCTTGAACCGTGTCAGAGTAAATCCGTGCTATAGAAGTGCCGTGTTATACGGGGGTTACCTGTACTGATAAAAATGTAACGATGAATATTGAAATACATATTTACTATCGAAATAATATAAGAAAAAATAATCCATAAAAGTATTAATTGAACTATGTATAAAGTATATACGTAGGCCTATATAACAGTGTGATAAATTTATGAGATGTTTTTTTTTTAATCTGATATTATATATTTTATAGATTGTACTTCCAATTGTATTTTCTAAATGGAAAATATATTAGCTATAGATCGAAAGAGTTTACTTACATCTATGAAATTGAATTTGTATAGCTCTAAGTTTTAAGCTATATAAACACAAATACTACATTAGCGAATTACTCTAAATAATCGATAAATATGCTTTTATTTCGAGTACAATTGCAAATTCTTAAGCAATCAATTCGATACCACATCGTAATTATATCGTAAAATTCAATTAGTTTTGTACCGATAGACCACTGATTATTGTTGTATTCTGATGATAACACTATAAAGATAACAGGTAATTTTGTGAAAACGAATAATTGCACTCTCATAACGTTCTTATTATCATGAAACACTATGTAAAAATACGCTTTTGTTTTAAATACTTCAAGCTATTATGTAATGGGGTTTATATTTACAAATTATTTGCAATACTTGAATATCACGAATATTTTAATACATTTTAAAATGTATTAAATATACTCAAAAGTCTGAAATATATAATCTAATAACGTATTAAAAAGTGTATGTAAATTAAAACTTTATCGCGAATTGTTTCCAGGCAACATAATCACTTCTAATCACACTGGAAGCATGCAACGATAGAAAGACGAAGTCAACACGATTTGAGAAATTTTACTCGAATTTTTTAGAAGTATTTTTATAGGCGATAATGTTATTGTTTGCTACAATGATAGCAACATCTGAAGGGTTTTGCAGTCAAGCATTTTTGATATTTAAAACAAATAACGTCTATATTACATTTCTTCTATCTTTCTATATTATATTTCTTTAAATCTTTCTAACGATGCTGAGAATTCTTGGTGTATATTAATGCATGCACACACATCTAAATTAATGCACTATCTTGTTTTTTATAACTATATACTGTACAAACATAACGTGAAAAACTGTTCTATGTACGTCTATTGTTTTTTAAGTAGTTTACACAATACTAAATATCTGACATATGTTCAAACTATAGAATAAAACAAGTTATTACGTGAACACTCAAGTAATATCTCGTTGAGAAAAAATTTCAACAAAAGAATGCGTATATTAAAATTATTAACACATTATCTCTAACTTCCGTAATACTTTATAAAATTTTTTATGTGATTTCTGAAATTTCGATGAACTTAAAGATAATTGGCCCTATTTGAAACCCAGTCTGAAGTGGAAAGTTTGTTCAGCTCGAGTTTAAAAGTATCCAAGTTTTCCATTAAATCTTCTAATATTCCAATATTTGGCCAACTGTGTTTGTAACAAATACATTTTTTCTTTTGATCTTGAGTATTCTTTCGATTACATTGACATATTGACATTGTTCATTTCAATTGGTCAGCTGCGAGTTTTGAGTCAGAATTGTAGGCTTTAAACTGCAGCACTAAGATAACACATGGCCTGAGATCCAGATTATGTTAGCATTACATTCGCCGTTAAACAAACAGTGAGCTTTTTACTTTAAATCTTCTGGTTTCATGATAAAAGCATTGTTTTTTTGTTTTATTTGTTGGAACAGATTGTTTGTCAATACTGTATTTCTGTACTTATAAATAAATAGCTGTCCAAAAAGTTCGCCAGAAAATTTACCTGTATGAGAACTTTCAATTATTTGTTTCATTCTTCATCGTATAATTTACAAAAGTTACAGCAGAGCATCTCTTATTTCGTAGAACTCCGGTTATTTGAATGAGAGAAGAGAAAATAGAATACAATCCACTTACCATCTGAAAACAGTTAAAGCATAATAAATAGAACAACACCAAAAATATACTCTTTTTATTTATGATAATTCTCAAGGTATGTCTCTTTCTTAAAAAACACCACTTAAAACAATGAACTTTCAATTAAAGCAATATATGAATTATGTTATATTATAAAAAAAATATTACATAATGTTACATTTACATTACATTGTAAAAATTGATAACAAAATAAAAACTTTTAGACACGTTTATCGAAATTTTAACTGGAAGTATATTTCTTTTTGTTAATTTTTAACAATTAACATAATAAATATCCGCATTTTATCATTGAAGATTTATATCTGCCGTAATATATGAATACTGTGTTCTGCTAATAAAACTGAAGAAAACACTATAATAAGACGTATTTATCCTGATCAAGAAATTTCTTTTGACGTAGAAAAATCCCCACATCGATATCCCGAAAGGTCTTCCTCCGAATCTCTTCATGAAACAAATGATCTGAAATTATTTAATTATTAATAAAATTACATTACATATTCAATAAAAGTAATAAATAACGTACTTTAAATCTGTATGTCGGTGGGAAAATAACAGAGTTATATTTCCCGATGTTGATAAAACTGTCGTATATCTGAAGTATATTTATAAAAAAATAAATATTAAGTTCATTATTTAAACAATTATATTTTATAACTTTTATATTAATTAGAACAATACTCACGATTGATGTAAAAATTGATAATGCCCACGACACTATTAAAGCTCCAATGAAAAATGTCACTGCAAATATTGCGATTGCCACACGAAAAATAATGTCAAAACGTACGAAGAGAGCGATATATACATATAAACAAGTTTGGTAGAGGAAAAAACCGTAAATAAGAGGGAAAAGCGCCTTCCATTTGTCGTTGGCTTCTTCAAATATCTGCCAAATTTCCCAAAGATTTCTGGTTAGTTTATCAATGAACGATTTGCTTGCGATAATTGCAAGTTTCAACTGAACAGACATATTTATCAACCTTCTTCCTATAAGTAAGAGAAAAATTAGAAAATAAAAAAAATTGACACAGTATGTGAGAAGCCATATAAACGAGCCAAAATTTGATGCTAATAGCACAAAGGAAAGACATTTTATAATTGTGATGTGTTGTTTTCAGAGCAAAATAATCAATGTACGAACTCATTGTAAAGCAACATAAGAGAATCGAAACGTAGTAACAGAAATAATAAATAATGCGACCCTCATATCTCTCGATAAATTCTTCTTCTTCCTTAAAATCTTTCATTAAATGATGAATATCAATTTTTTTTCTTCGCAAAATACTGAACTGTACAGCTGTGTACAAGGAAGCATTCCATGCAACGAATGAAATGTACAATTTATTATTTTGAAATATCGAATATATTTGAATGCAAACGTTATCAGAGGCAATCGTTACTGTAAGCATTAATACCATCGTCCATAAAAATAGCTCGAGTAAATTCGTATAAATTGTAAAAAAATTTTGATTTCTTCTTGATTTTTTTTTTCTGACAATCACAAGTTTCCAACAAATTCAAACCGAATACTTCGGAAACAGAAATGACAGGTCGAAGTTTTGTGGCAATGCATTTGCTGTGTGGTGAATGCATTTTGAACGAAACAAGTTTAAAGATTATTTCGTTGTACAGTCACCAAGGTTGACGTTAGTTATAATGTAACAGAATACAGATTTGGCAATATACACTGAGAATAATACGAAAGTTAGAATAACGCTTTAAGTCGTTTTGTCTCCAGTAGAATATTCTACGAAGTGAATACGTAAATCATAAGATGGTTAGTGATTGGTTGATAGACGCAATTGTGGAAAATCAATAGTGTGACGTTAACCATTGTTTAATCCAATCACGTTACGGACTGTAGAAACTGAATTGTTGCTTGGAAACAATTTGCCATCAATACATTTGAATTTATATTTCATTCGCGATACGTAATTTTTGTATACGTAATTGAATAATGAAGCTTAAAATCACAGAATGTTGCTAGGACTTAAAGTAAAAACCACAGGACAAACCTTAAGCAACACATTACAATAAACACAAGACTGAATATAACAATATACAATTTTCACGAAGTTGATTAAAAAAGAATTGTTTTCGTACGATTTGTGTACGATTTCGTACGAAAGATTCTTCATGCTAAATTTGCTGCCGTAACATTGAATCATTTGTTTAACGTTAAAACAAATATACGTACAAACGCATTGTGACTTTTATATATTATAGATGAATAAGTAATTATGTATAATTGAATGTAAAGAACAGTTTTGAAATTTAAGAGTTTTCTTATCGTTAAATTTACCTGCTTGGAAGAAAATTTAAATTGAATAATTAGTTTTGTCTTTAATATATATTTATTTATTAATATTTAAAATTTGAAAATTCTCAAACGATTTCTTAAAAATTAACCACAAATTACATATATTAGATTCGAATGATTACATTCGTGCTTGAAATAATTTAAGTCAATGAAACATTTGTATTTTACAAGGAATTTCTGTTCCGAGATTTATGTCAATGAAATCGATGCTTTAGATATTTTCAATAACACGCGTACAATTAAGTTACTCTAATAAATATTTTGTTGTATAAACATAATACACAGTTACGTTCTGCATCAAATAATATTCTCGTATAAATCAATTGTTAAAATTTTTTGTAATCTTCTACACTACGGTACAAAGTATTAAAACTTAATTTCATTTTATATTTAAATATTACTTATATTACGAATTAATCGGTTATATTTTTAAGGATTTTCTAATAATTTTAAATGTATTTTCTGTTTACATAATCTACATACAGTATCTGTATTCGGTTTATGGCGTCTGAAGTCGCCTCCTGATCCGTGGGAACCCTTTTCATCTCTCTCTCTATCTATACACCATTCCTCTTTAATCCCTTTTTTACTACACGCAAAGTTTACTGTGTCGTACCGAGTTTGTCTGGGTCTTCTTTTTTTTCCTTTTATGTAGAATGTATTCCATCGATATTTCCATTTATATGTCTCGTCACTCCTTTTTTTTACATGTCCAAACCAAATAAGTTGTTTCCTTTTTATTTCTTCCATAACCGTTTTCTTCAATCTCATTAGTTATCGTTTCTTTTTTTGAGATTTTGCACGATCTTCAACCATTGTTAATTTTTATTTTCTATACCCCAGTGTTTCTCCATGCATAAGAGAATGCTTTTAACAATAGCATTATATATATATATATATTTTTTTTCTTCATCTAGTTTTCCATTTAATCTTACCATGTGCTAATCTTGTATTAATTTCTAATGTATCTCTTCCATTTTGATGAATTTGTATTGTGACGTTAATATTTCTCAATCTTTTTCTCTTCCTCCATTTTTGTGTCTGTTTTAGCCTCACTTATGCAAAAATATATTGTTTCACTCGTGTTTATGTATAAACCTCCTCTAAAATATTTTTGTTTTATTTTCATTGTCACGTACTTTAGATTATTTTTATTATATGCCGTTATCATCTGATCATCTGCAAATTGCAATGTAAATATTAGTTTATTGTTAATATCTATTTTCATATCATAACATTTCCTTTTCCATATTTTCAATACTTCTTTTACTTAGATTTTAAATAAAGTTGGTAAGATACAACATCTCTGTCTTAGTGCTTTTCATACCATAAATTAGTCTGATATTTTTTCCCAATATCTGTTTTCGTTATAGATTTTCTATATAAATCTTTAACTGCTTTAATAAGCGTGTTATTATTATTCATCTCTTGTAATGCCTTTAATAATTTAGATGTTGCGATATTATCATATGCTTTCGTTAAGTCTATAAACAATATCACGAACATACTATAAAGTAAAACAACGTATTATATTCGGGTGTGAAAATAAAAGAACAATACTTTCCTATGTTGATAAAATTATCATACACCTGAAAAATCATTATAAATAATCAGTTTTTAATTCATTTGCTGGACGATTATATTTTACTCGTTGTGTATTAAAAAAACGGTTTTTACAATTCAAATAAAAATTGATAAATCAGCTGAAAATATCTTTAGTGTTATGTGTACGTATGTGTATTAGTATCGTCTCGACACTTTGTATTGTTATTATTAGAGTACAACAACTATCAGACGATTATCGAGAGAAACGTAATTGAATACCATGAAATAATTACGAAGAAATATATATCGAATTGATTGTCTAATAAATTGCATCCCTGCTTTATATAGAAGCCAATTTATCGATCTTTTAGATTAATTCTCTGTTGTGATTATTGTGATTATGAAACTTAAAACTTATATAAATTCAATTTCATAAATATCGTAAAACTTTCCGATCAATGGATATTGGTTTTCGATTGTGATATGCAAAATAAAATAAAATTTATGAAAACGTAAATATACAATACTAGCTGTTACCCGCGACTTCGTCAGCGGAGGTTTTGCAAGCAAACCCCATTTACATCCAATATTTCAATAACCATAGTAATTGTTATATAACACCTACCGCTGAAGAGAATTGCCGAAAATCAAACGAACTATTTTCAATTTGATCAATTTTCTGAAACGTTTACAATCGTTCTATAATCGAACCAATACGCAANTTTGTTCTAATATCCAAGTAAATTAAAACACGATAACTTAAAATAATATTATAGCAGTAAGACAAAGTATAATAGGGAAATAGCTCAATATAATAATTATTTAAATTATATTTTTTACTTATTTATTAAATACCTACCTCTCTCTCTCTCTCTCTCTCTGTAAAAGTTAAGAAGGCCGAACCAGAAGCCTTACAAGAGAAGTGAGAAGAGGTTAAGAGAGGGGGAAGGTGAAGATGGGGTCAGGGTGATAGGAAAGTGTGAAGAAGAGATTTGTGAGCGTCCAGCACCCTGCTCCGTTTATTGAAACCCAAATAAATGTAATACAAAATATAGGTACATGCCTGAAAAAAACGATGAAACTGCTCCAATTTGTACAGTACAACAGACCGCCGACAAAACAAAGACCACGGCACAGAATTCGCGACTTAGCGAATACGAATGTACTGTACATGACAACTTAGAGCGAACAAAACATAACATAACATGAACCTCAGCTTGGAGAGAACCCTGAAGACCTAGTATTAATTATACTGGTCCAGGGGAACAAAAGAGGGACAAGTGGCCTGTACCTCTAGGCTAGCGCGTATAAAAGAAAGTTAACCGAACAACCTCGCCAGGCTATCCAGGCTGGTTGCAATGCTGAGGCAGGTTGCGATAAGCACAAACACAGAGGTAGTATATTTGCGGGCTAGTCTGTTGTCACTAGAGAAGGAGGCCCATCTTGGCTTGCGGTGGTCCCTAAGGTAAAGTTGGGAAAAGTGTTCCTTGTTTTGAGAATGAATGTCTTGAAGGCAGTTGTTGTAATGTTGTTAGTAAGGAAGTACTGACTTCGACAGGGCCAGTGGAACCCCTGAGAATACATTACATGCTTCAGCTGTAAAGAATATTTTGATTTTAAAGTATCTTGAAGTATTTAAAATGATAGTGTATTTTTATATAGTGTTAGGATTAAATAAATTTATGATAAAAATAACGTCATGAGAGTGCAATTATTCGTCTTCACAAAATTACCTGTTAACTTTATAGTGTTACCATCAGAATACAATAACAATCAGACGTTTATCGGTACAAACCTAATTCAATTTTACGAAATAATTACGATGATGTAATTATCGAATTGATTGTTTAAGAATTTGCAATTGTACTCGAAATAGAAGCATATTAATCGCACTTTTAGAGTAATTCTCTATTGTAATAATAGTGTTTATATAGCTTACAACTTAGGGCTCTACAAATTCAATTACATAGATGTAAGTAAAACGTTCGTATCTGTGGCTAATAGATTTTCCATTTAGATAATGCTGTGAGGGACGAACAGACCCTCAATAAAGTGTTATTTTAAATTTCAATTATTTTGGAATTCAATCGTTTAACTTCGATCGTTTTATCGAGTTAGGCTG